TCCTGAGGCCTCTTGCACCAAACGACCTAGCTAGGTAGAATTGGAAAACCGGTTTCAGAATAAGGTAATCTAACGGTAGTAAATTTGTTTGCAATAGCCCAATACATAATCCTACATGTGCTTGCTAAATTTTGTATGCAAATTGTTACATTTGAGACTTGGACTAGGTATACGATGCAAAATAATCCAAGCATTGGTGCAAGAGGATTTTGGTGCAAGAGGCCTCTGATCAGATGTCACTCTGTCACTCTGATCTGTGAATACATGCTAACTACACTCTCTTCATCATATTGTTATCTGAGTAAATATGTTAAAAAATACTGATGTGCCTCATCATTAACATGTCCTTCCTTAGCTGTCAGGCATCGTGAGATCTTACATAATAAATAATTCAGGATTCATTCTGGGTGGTACTGGCATTCTTCAGCAATTCAAGGGATCCCAAAAGGTCTTGAAGCGTAAATAAAAAAAAAAAAACAGTAGGTTGGTAGGAAAAACGGTCACCCATTTTGAAAACTTCAAACTCGTCACAACGAGTGAGCGACAAAATATTTGACGACGACGACCTGTGTATATGTTAGTGCTCTACGTTTCGAAAGTCCTAAATTTAGTAACTAGTATGGAAAAAGCATGACAGCCATGGCAACATTTACTACAAGCGGCAGCGGCACATGCAAGTCAGGAGGCGCCATCGCCGTGCCCTCCTGGGCACAGACAGAGGGTGCCGCCGCTGCCGCCCGGTTCCTGCCACAGAGAGTGCGCGGGGCCTCCCGCACCCACCTCCTGGGCTGCGGGCTGGGCCGGGGCCGGCTGGGGGACCGGGACCGGCTGAGGGACCGCGGCCGACCCCTCCGGCACGGCGATACCGCAGTCGCGCAGCGAGCGGCCGGCGCCGGCCGCCGGGAACGTCTCCCCGAGCCGCTGCAGACTCTGCACGTGCCGGTGCCAGCGCGCCAGGTGCGGGTAGCGGCCGGCGTCCGGCGCGCCGCCCACCAGACGCAGCAGGGCAGCGTCCAGCGACGAGGCGCTGTAGCCGTCCACATAGCTGTGCGCCTCCAGCACGGCGTCGGCGCTGGCCAGAAACTGCAGCATGCTGCCGCAAAGCGCGCGCGCGCGCGCCAGCGCTCTCACTCACACCACTGTGAATGGAGGTCCGTCACCAGGCGGCACGGTACTCTGATATCGCATGGCGCTGACCGATACTTTACTGCATCAATCGCCATCGAGAGCCATATGAAGAGACAAATCACATCCCTGATGCAGGCAGATTAGAAATCTCACAACCACAGAATTTGAAAATAGGTACCTAACACTCTGCATTCTAGCAAGCAACCTTAGCCACATATGGTAGGGATTTTTTTGTGAGAAAATAAATAAAACCATGCCAAATAATTTTTATCTTGTAACTTTCACATCACTTGGAGGAATGATTACTTATCTAATCACCATACCAGCAGATAAAGTTTGCAATTGCCTACTCTCTTTCCATGCAAGGGGAACACCTCACACTAGCAAGTAGCATCATTATCCACAATGCAGCTTCTTGGTAATTCATGTCATGTGCCTTGCAGAGCCTTGCAGATCACTTGCTAAAAAACTGCACATAGTGATGCTGAAGAATGCCAGTACCAGGAGATGACATGTTGTGAGCTGTTGTGAAGAAAATTATTTGATATGTTTAATATGAAAAAACATTTAGACATCATTGTAGTTGCTCTGCAATTATTTGTTTGAGGGGTCACCAACCACAGTGACCTTAAAATAGATAGGTACCATTGTTGACTTCCTCTAATGAAAGACAGCACACTCCTCTTTCAACAAAGCCCTGTCATAATCAGAGATTAGATGGGAGGGGATCAATCGGCTAGTACTGATGAGGGCACAAATAAGTTGAACTGCATTATCTGCAAGATTGCAATTTGTGTACCTACTATGCTTGAATAAATTAAAGATAAGGGCTTGAATGTCTTGTCACCCCAAGGCATCAATGGCTGAGAGTGTAAAGCAATCTCTCAGACAGTGTCGCCAAGAAAACCATCTTTTATTCTTGAAGTGGGTTTAACTAGCATGATCATCTTTTATTCTTGAAGTGGGTTTACCTAGCATGATATGGACACCACTCTCCTTCCCCCCCCCCAATCACAGCAAGACTTGGAAAGCCAGGAGATACATGGCAGGTATCTGGGGTAGGTAGTACCTAAAGCTGTTGGAAAATCATATGTCAAGTTTAGGTCCTAACTACAATTGTGACGCTGTTGTTACAAATATGAAACAGCAAAAAAATTAGGTTTTAGGTTAGGTTAGGTTGTAGGTTTGTAGGTTTTAGGTTGTAGGTAGGTAGGTTTGTAGGTTAGCTTAGGTTAGGGTAGGTTTGTAGGTTGTAGGTTGGTAGGTAGGTTATAGGTAAGTAGGTAAGGTTAGGTCAGGTTTGATTATGTTTTTTCTTTTATTTGCGAGACATATGAGTATCATTTTTGGATTCAGAATGTCAAATAATGTAAAAATATGAAAAATTTATCAATGAAATCTTCTTAGGACTTAAACTTGACATTTACCGAAAATCATTAGGTTAGGTACTTAGGTCAATAACATCAAACCTGACCCAGTAACTTAATATTGAAATGAGCCGAATCAGTCACCTCTCCAAACTACAGTAATATAGCTTATGTCGCTAAATGCAGCATAACATATGGCATCGGTACAGGCTACGTTCAGTTTCCAAATGCTCGAGCAGGTACCTACGCAAAATTAAATTTAGGTTATATATAAGGGGGAAATGTTTAAAATATCACCAAAAACACTCTACTATTTAAGGGATGCATGCACGAATTAACAATAATTCACAAAACTGGAATCCAAATACCGATGCAAGAGTCCGTGAAGTCAGAGAGAAAGTCTTGACCGTTTTTGAGAGATTGAAAGCAAGACGAAACAGCATATCAGATGAAAAACACAAATCAAATTAACATGGCGCATTTAAAATCAATGAATACTGTGCCACCACCAAAAATATAAACAAAACCCAGCACTTCTCTGCAACCCTCAAACACCCCTCCCTCACCAACACCAAAAGGCCGGCAGCGATTCACACGCGGACAAACAACTGAGCGATACATTTATGGCGCAGCAGCTAGTTTCTTACCCAGCTTTACGAAATTGAGATAGCAGATGACGTCACAAGCTAGATGATGAAAGAAATGATCTAAATCTCATCAGGGTGATAATTGAACTCATGCCTATATCATCACAGTTTTCGTCTTTATTTCTTTAGTTTCTCTGCTTTGGTTTAGAATCAGATAAAGATCTGAAAAAGCGATACGCATGAGTGGTTATTTCAAATGCCTCGAAGGGACACTTATGTTTGATCTGACTGTCCTTTACGGCATTTACCAAAGTAGTAAATATTTGAACAAACAGTTTTGTAGAAAGCGATGAGTCTACAGTCACGGTCTTGAGTGAATTTAATGGACTTACCGTAACCATTAAATGTTTTTCCGCAATTCAACTTTGTTTGCTCAATACCGTCAATGCTTGGACCAATGTCGTCATAAAAAATAATCTTGCGGAATCTGAAGTGACACGTTGCTACGAATTTACATTCCTTGACAAATGCTGGGAAAATGTGTGAGCATAAACAAATAATATGCAAAAAACAAAAAAACGCAGTTCGCGATTTTCTGAGAGGTGGTGGGATACATTTGGGATAGAAGAAGGTATTTTGAAGTGTTAAGTGTTGTGAGGAATATTATTATGATGATTACAAGCAGGGCTGTGGGGCTCTCTCTATCGTCTGGAGGTTTCGAAAGATGCTCTCCAGAGATGGCGCTAGTAAATTTGGCTGACATGACGTCATGCTTAAAAGTGATGGGTTTTGTGAGAGCAAATGTAATAATAGTTGAAAATTTTGTTCTTTTGCTTAATTGAGAAAAAATAAATATACAATTGTTCAAAACAGCGTTTTCCTCATTCATCCTTCATTGTTTCAAGAGGAATATAGACAGTTTAAATCTTTTTTCTTGATCGTAATTTGCTCACGCACTAAATTAAAAGCTGGAGTTTTGTGCGTTCGTAAATCGTGATTTCAGAAAATAAATTGACAATAATCTTTTGCACTTTTGCTTTACAATCATTTTTCAATGCAGATAAATGCATGAATTATTCGAAAATAGGCATATCTTTGAAATATTATGATTTTCCACAAGCAAATTTTTCCAAAAACTTGAACTACTTACAACTGACGAACGCATCCAATAATCTGGATGTCTTAGGATGAGTTCGTCATTTTTTCCCAAGGAAATACGATACAGTTTAAGCTACTTTACCGATATATAAGGGTACTTTTGCCAATGAATTAATAAATAAATGACAACAATTAATCTCATTATCAACCATACCCGGAAGAATTTTCTTCGCATAAGCGCGAACACATCCGCGTTTTCATGAAAAGTAACGCCTGCAGATGTCAGGACTGCTGCTTTATGTTTCGCAAGGTGGCGCAGCGCGCAGGGTACCGACTACCGAGGCTGAGGTCTCCAGACTCTCCAGTCTCCACCACGATTTAGCTTGGAAATGGCCAATGGGGAAGGTCTCACCCCAAAAAACGGACGCCCTTTTACACAGCTGCATAACGAGAATGAATTATTGGCATAGCTGACCATACGTCCCCTCCCCTCTCCGCCCCAGCTCAATTGGAAATATCGCCTATTTTCCTTAATCAGTTAGGTATATTCTGACTAATTTCTCACTCTTCCCAGTAAACCTTAACATGCATGATGCAGATGTCCACTGCGTAAGTCGTGTGCTTGCGTATGTGTGCCAACTATATAGTGTTCCCTACACTCCACTGTGCCTACTGCTTCCACCGTTCTCGTTATAATTGGTGATTCTCAGGTCAAAAGTTACACAGTGGTCTCAGAGAACAATCGTTTCAACAAATTAACGATTCAAACCGTTGCATTCTACTTATATTCCGGTCAGTTCTGCTACTAAACGATTCCGGCAAAACACTCTTTAGGTTATGTATTAGCGAACCACCACACAAAATTCGCCCAATCAATGGTCAGTTAGGTATTACTGCTGGGCTGAACCGTCATACGCTATATAGCCTATTGCAGTCAATATTTTCAGAACGATACCGACTGACGAAACACAACGTATTCGCGGATTCGCACATACGTTGGCACCCAGGTGGCCTGTCAGCAGCCGCACAAATTGAGATGGTACACCGTAAAGCATGCCTTTCCACACAGGCACAAGCACAGGGACACAGATTCTCAAAATCCAAACTTATTCCAATACTGGTCAAATACTAATAGGCAAAAAGTTTTGAGGTTTTCTCATGTTCATTCTTCTTTCAACACACGCGGCAGAATGCAGCAGAACATCTCACAGAGCTGCGCTGGATGCAGTCATGAGCTGGGACACGGTTTGTGACCAATGGCCGATCGGGGGTGCCAGCCTCTTCCCGGCACGCGATGCACTGGCCGCCGCGCAGTCGATGTCGGCTCCGATTCGGTGTATTGGTGGCAGCCCGAACAGTGACCCACGCGAAGCTGGTGGACGTCGATGGCCGATGAGCGATGCCCTTCCGCGACCGGCGGTGGCAGTCGGTCCCACATCAAGAACAGATACCAGTCATGCGGTCAGTCGGCGACGGCGCGGTCGCGAGCCGATCTGATGGTCGCGCGGTGGGCGTTGCCGACGTCCACCGGGACCGTCGACTGGGGGAGCGCGGCCGCCTCTTGGCCGCCGCCTCTGGTAGGCGCGCTCGTTGCGCTGTGGGACGGCATCCACTGCAAGTCGTTCACTGTGAAGCGGTCGTTTGACCGGACCTGGCAGGCGGGGAAAGGGGGCCTCAGATGAAGTAAAACCATCCCTCAGGCCAGCTTGAGCTGGCTCTCCACCTCACCATGTTAGATAAGCGGACACCCTCGTGATCATCGCAGCGATGATTGCCAATTGGTGTGTCATCATGGGAGAGGATGCCAGCCTCCTTTGCAAGATAGTCTGCCTTTAATATAGTGCAGCCCGACCCATTGCCTGTGGCAGCAGACTGGGCTTGATAATGCAGTGCAGGACACACCAAACGTAAGCGGCCATCTGTACCCCCTGTGCAGTAGGGCTGACTCAAGAGCCCAGAGTTGCCCTCCCCCCACCATTCTGTGCACATGATAACTGGATGGGATATGCCATGGTCAGCATCTGTTCAAAAGCTGCCCTAAGCATGTAAAGCTCCACTGGCATGCTCAAGCATGGTCACAGTCAGTTCTCACTTTTCAGTTGAACCTCCAATGGAAACCCATCACAAAGTAGAGATCAGGGCGCCTCTCACACTGCAGCACACTCAACGACTGAGGCACCACCTCATCACTTGCAGGTGGTTCTTGCCAGGAGCAATGCCAGCCACGCACATCAGGTGATAACAGCAGTGTACAACTGCAATCTACAAGCATCATGTTCTTTCTGGTTTTCTCCTGTTGAGATCCACTGCCATGCATGAACTTGATGGGCTTTTGTTGCGCTCCTCCCATGTGCAGACAGGTTTCTGCTGAAACAAAGCAAAGCAAATGTGATTAACAATGGCCCTGTTTCACCATCCAGACACTGTGTGCACTGGTAGCTACGGCATACCATAGCATCACTCAAATGACATTGCATGTGATCTCTTAGTTTATGATGAATCGCGTTTGGAACAGAGTGAGAGGTTCTGAAAAACCGTACCAAAAACAGAGGTTTGAGTTCAAATACTGCTAGCATGCTGCTGGTGCTGGTACCGCAGCGTGCTAGCGTTCTGGGATGCTGTCATAGCTTAGCGTCACAGTGAAATTTGTTGACACTGCCATGGAAACCCAATGCTCTGACACACGCAGCGCACTGCAGTGCTCTGCCGTGAAACACCACCCATGAACATTGGTTGCATGACCAGGATCGGAGCAGTGTGGCAGACAGTGATTTTAATTTTAATTGCACTTCCTAGAGATTAACAAGTTGTTGGTGAAATTGCTATTCATTATTTCTATTACCATTGTCTAAATTTCACATTTCAAGACAGCATCAGCATTGACATGTTATATAAATAAGGTTTAAGGTTTAAGGTAAGGTTTAAGGTAAGGTGGCCCCGGGTTCAGCTATTAAGTAGAACAAGGGCAAAAAATTGTCAAAAAAATATTTTTAAAAAATGCCTGCCTTCATCAACACCTCATCTCAATCTACTAATCACATATCTCAATACAATCAAACACAGATGGGTTAAACAACAATGCCCTAAAAGCAAAAACCGTTTGAATAACAATGTAATATTTTGCAACCGCTGCACCATTACTGTCACGTACGCTATCCCTAGATTGGTTGCTGGTAAGTAGTGGCTGTCGACACCCCATTCCAACGTATGCACAGTAGGTATCCAACCGACTCGGACCATTTGTCAATGGGAATTGTCCAATCGAAATCTACTAAATAACTGATCACCCGATGCATATCACTAATGAAAAATGAAAAAATAGCTCTACATTTTAGAATGCGTTAGTTTAATTCCTTGGAAAGGAGAAGCCACCACGGGGCTTTTCAAGAAAGCATTATGTTCAAGCCGACGACCCTAAAATGTGATCGATACGCCCTATCGTATTTATTGGGACTGAAACACTGAACCTATAAGATCAAATATCAGATGCATGAAATATTGAGCATCAACTGTGTCGTGGCTATTCAGGGTTGGCCCATCTACTATGGCACGGGGTATGAGCGTTACCGACCGTAATATGTAAGATAATGGTGATAATGGTTAAGTTGGTGATGAAAATAATAGTGACTGACAGAACAGACAGAATAATCAAGAACGAGTACTTTGAACGTCCAAACTACATCGTCACCGCAGCCCATGCAGCACGAACTACTCGATGAAAACAAGTCAAATTGAGCTGATTGTCAGCTTCACTGGCAGGGTAGGCTGACCTGCAGCGCAGCCGAGCCATGCGGCACAGTCTAAGCAACCTCTGAGGCTGAACCGCAAAGCACGTAAATATAGGTTGGGGACATTGAGCCAAGTCATCCGTGATCACGTTGCACATTGAATGATTGGTTCATACTTACTGGAAATAAAAGTTCCTATTCAACTACACAGTATATTTGCGGGAAGCTTTACAACCCTAGGCCCCAACCAGAATAAATAACAAGCTTGACTACAGGAATAATTCACCAAATGTCCCAGAAACTCAACACTCGCTTTACTCGCTGGCAAACGGTAATTATTCAGAGCTACAGTGGAAATAACGGCGGCGTTACTGACCACACCGGCGTTGAGGCTGGCCGCTGAGTGCCCCGACGCCACATCCAGACCTTTGATATTGATACCGGTTAATGACATTGAAACGACTCATGACCACCATTCAGCACACATAGGTATACCAGCCGAAACCACACATATGACATAAATACACTGTCCAATTCCGGTCACAAGCTATACCCTACATCAAAGTACTTGACTATATAGCAGCGTCAGACGTGTGATTGCATAAAGCTGTCACACTTTGCAACACATCAGCACACGTTGTGACAGTATATTGCCCTATATTCTGCTAATACACTGCAAAGTGCACTTGCCAGGAGTACAAGACACTGTGCACTTCAGTGCTTGTAGTTTGGCCATACGTTATCATTCCCAGTTCCCACAACAGTCCCGCGCCCCTCCCGGCTCGCCGGTGACTGCTCACCTGGAGTTGGACGATATGACGTGGTGCGGCCACCTGAACGGCAGGTAGAAACAGTCGCCTTTCCAGAGGGTCACGTTGTACCACGGCACGTCCCTCAGGCCTGGCGAACGGACAGCGGGTACTAGTGGCTAACAAATGCGTGTATAGGAGCCTGACAGACATGCGCTTCATAGACTACGGTGACCAAATGACAAATGTGCAACAGACACTACCGACCAATAAACACATGTTCAATAGAAACGTGTTATGTCGGACGGATACATTTTGGACACATTTTCTTCACACGTACTGAGTGACGTACTATTACAAATAGAGGTCACTGAAAGAAGGTATTATCCAGAATGCTTTTTACACAAAGCTTCTTATCCAAGCACACGCAGCCAAAAGGCGAACCTTCTGACAGACACTGGCACCTGATGGACAAACGTGTGCAGAGCAGATAAGAACCCAGGCATCCAACAGATGCACATATCAAAGGGCCATTGTGATTTCATTACAGTCACATTTGGTTTCGATTATTATGACCGATCACAAATGTTCGCCGGTCAGAGACGGCCAGTGAATGGCTGGAGTCTGGACCATGAATATTTTCATGACAAAACCTAATACTGAATGCTACAGTATCTCAAATTATATATTGCAATGGGGCATTGCTAATAAAACCAAATACAAACCAACATCGGGCCCGATTCCCAACGACCCCCACGTGCGGACATCATGTAAATTGACCGTAAGTGGACGGTCGTGGGCGATAAACTTTAGAGGTGAATGCTACGCCGTCACGGGTCAAAACAGCAGCCTGGACATGCACAGAGCCTGATTGTCGGAGGTGGAACGCCGACTTTGGCGACAAATTCACTCAGAGCGAATGAAAACTCGCTCTGCACATGTATGTAGTTAACCAGCAGCTCCGTGCAAGCCGATAATGGCGAATTGAATCCTGTGACGACCGGTGGTGAGACCTTGGCAATGGGTTATCGTTAGTGTCTTGGCTCCTAACCCTAATCGTGCTAATGATCAGATTCTGAAATTATTCTAAAATAAGAGCCCGGTTGACAAAGTTCTAATAACAGCCTTCTACCTATGCCCACTTCCAACAAATGGTCCAAGTAAAGAACGCTCGTTAAATGTTCAAATACTAAGCTTCAGTCTTCTAGCCGGGTAGTCCACCGACATCTTAAACACTGAAATTACGACAGTCCCAGCCGTAAACTGCACAAGTTCTTATAGACGACGATGAAAGGCAAAGTCCCGGGCTTCAATTACGGCACAAAGAGCTTATAGCAATGTTGCTAAGTGGTCAGTCATGGACTCAACCACATCTATGAAATAATGATCCACTGGCATGCGGAAATAGTTGACATAAAAGCAAGACCAATAAAACAACGAAGTTTCCCAGAAGTTAACAACTTGAACAACCGGCCATTATTGTAGCTGTTATGCGGCCAAACACAGGAACTCAACGGGGCAATGAGGTTCCTTTCTAGGAGGCGTATACGCATAACCATGGAAATAACCGGCAAGCATTTACGGTCTAACTAAAACTACGAGTATCAGTGCTCATGTGACAATCTAGCAGCCCATTTTATCATCACTCTGCCGATCTCTGGAACCCTGCAGTCGTTCCCGGACTCTAGTCGGCCTTGGAGTCCTTCTACCTATCCGTGGCCGTCCGGCCCTGACCCCTGCCAGGGTAGCTCCTCCTCCTCCCAGCAGCCCAGTGTGTCTGCTTTATATCACCACGGGCCAACGGACTCCGCGACTCCGACCCTAATCGACTGGGCGCTGTAAGGACGCGACACCCGCCGCTTCCACAGCGATCCGCAATCAGCGTAAAACGTGCAGCGCCACTTACGGGTCGACCCCAACCTGGCGCCGAATGGAATAGCACACTTTCTGATTGGCGAGTATTCGTTATTGATGGGTTAGTGAATGCGTCACGTTATCAAATGTTACCAGAATGTCACGACCTTTAATGTTTATCAATTGTGCTGAAAACGATAATAATAAATAGGAAATGCGACAATATAATACAGGTTATAGGCCTACACAATGACCATGATATGCAATATGCATATCACACTGGATTAGTGAAATGCCTTGTATGAAAATCTAATGATCATTCAATTCAAGGCACCGCTGACTTCCAACATGGACACTGAGTTAATGTTCCGTGCAAGAACTCACCGTAGATAAGGCAAACGACATTCGATTCTTATCGGTGAATTGGATGACCGCTAGATCAAACAGCTATGTAGCTAGAAGCTAACAAAGCTAGTCCGTCAATAACTATTTCATAACACGTGCAAAATGACAGTACATGCAACCAGCAGGCCTATCAATGTTACTGTCAACAACATTGGATTTTTTATCGGCAACCACACTTTATGTTCGTTACCCACAGGACCCGCCTATTCAGCCGGGCAAACTGCCTTACCGGACATTGGTGTGGTTACGTATGTACTAGCAACAATAGCCCACCGAAAGGGCCAACAGCCCGTCCGGTCGCCGGTCTCATTCAGCGGCGTGACACGACACTGGCACAGCACTATCACACAATGCGTGAACAGCACTTGCTGTCTTTGAATACTGTCATTGGACGTCTTTGGACGGTGGATAACGTATGCCTGTGATCAACCGTCCGCCATAATTCACAATACACTTATCCGAGCGGCACACAGGTACGTACGAAAAGCAAAATCCATGACAGTTTTGGCCCACAACTGTTTTGGACAGGTAGGTATTAATTACTGTTAGAAAGTAATAAAAACCAAGGACGGGAAGCGCGGCGAAGAGACCACCGAACACAGAGAACCTATTGCCATGAATAGGAAATAGGCACATCGCCTTTTCCCGTTCAACAGTGTAACCCAACTGCCACGGAATATGGACTGAAAAGACACACACTGTCGTACAAAGACTTCATAGCAAAGGCCTGCAAGGGCTTGCAAGACATTGCAAGGGCTTACCAACAATACGCGATGACCACATAAATAAAACACAAGGAACTCTAAAACAAATAACAAAACAACATCATCATCACAATGCAAGAAGACAGTGGATCTTACACCTATATAGCCATGACGCCGCTAGCAATAGCAGCATTTTACACGGCAAGTTTTAATGTCCGTCGCTGCAGCAAGGGTCACCCAATTTACGACGATCGTTTGGACGACAACCAGGGCAACTCGCCCACAATGCCACCATAAACTATCCTGTGGACAGTAACGCTGTTGACTGCCGACCACCGATATCATAACCCGACGGTCGTAAAGGGAAAATAAAACAGACTTGCAGACGAATTTACGGCAGCCACAAGCGAAAGTGACAAAAATGGATTAGGTATCGACGGAGCCCGTGACCCCGCTGTGTACGGATTGAGGTCCACAGTGGAATCGCCTGGGAACATTTACTTGTCCACGTGCCGTGTGGTGGACTGTGTCCACACTCCACAGTGGACTGTGATCTACATTCCACACTAGTGCACTCACCTGGGAACCGGTACATGTCCACGCTGGTGACGTCCACAGACGAGTACAGACCTTCCATGTGGTCAAACTCGATATGGTGAGCGTCATCCTGAAACAAATGCGGGATATTGTGAGACTAATTATATTGTCTAGTGGCCCCGGCGACAAACCAAGTGTGTTTTACCATACAACAAATAGTATGAACGTTGCTTCTTATCAAACAAATAATAAAAACGACTACAAGGAACATGATGACACACTGTCGTTTAACATCCAGAAACGATTTTATTTCAGGTCGATTACTCACAACATCAACCAGGAAGAAGTGTTTGTATCCGTCAAGGACGCAGTTGATGTTGTCGAGCTCATCGTAGTGCAGTACAGACTTGGTGCCCCCGCTGCTGAACCAGAGCACGGCGTCCATCATCAGACGCTGCAGGCCGCCGCACTGCGCACTGGGCAGCAGCGCCAGGTCACCTGCCGAGTCAAAAAGGTCAGAGAGAGGTCACTGCACACTGGGCAGGAGCGCCAGGTCACCTGCCACGAGGTTACAGAGGGGTCACAGAGAGGTCACTGCACACTGGGAGCGCCAGGTCACCTGCCGAGGGGTTACAGAAGGGGGTTAGAGAGGTCACTGCACACTGGGCAGGAGCGCCAGGTCACCTGCCGCGAGGTTACAGAGGGGTCACAGAGAGGTCACTGCACACTGGGAGCGCCAGGTCACCTGCCGAGGGGTTACAGAAGGGGGTTAGAGAGGTCACTGCACACTGGGCAGGAGCGCCAGGTCACCTGCCGAGGGGTTACAGAGCGGTCAGAGAGGTCACACAGAGGTCAGGTCACTGCACACTTGGCAAGAGCAACAGGTCACCTGAATAGCTCAATAAGACTCACAGTCACCTAAGTGACTGGCTTCGCAGATGTCAGAGCCACACTTCAAACTTAAAACTATTGAACGAAAGCTATCACACATGAACGATACCTACATTAGTACGAAAAAACGACAGATCGCAAAAAATATAGCCTGCTAAAGAACAGCCTACAGCTGTTTGAGCTGCCGCACCCCTCCCCTGAACGAACACTCTCGTGGCCGTCAAGAGAACTCACGTCTCATTTCCTCCTGAATGCTGTGCACCACGTACAGATCCTTCTCCTTGTAGACAGAGAGGAACTCAGAGACGTTCATCCGTGTGAGGCCGATACTTCTGTCCTCCTTCTTCTTCTGCTCCACGTCCAGCTCAACGCTGCCAAATTCACGCCTGAAAAGGAAAAAAGAACGACGGCACTCATATTGCGTAGCGTGAATGGAACAGACCCTTTCACGTCCGACTCCGTCTATTTTGCTTCCAAGTGGGAAAAGACTCAGTTGCGAACCACTGGCACCCACACCAGACGCACATATTTGATATTGAAAGACAATAAGTTGGTTACCACCAAAGTCTCCGTAGTAAATAAATAACTTGTTATGATCCTTTTTTGGTTTTTATCGGACTTTTTTCAGTGACTCACGTCGTGATTTTAGGGCAAATATAACGAGTTTAGGACTTCGGGAAATGGCGTCATACCACAGGACCTTTACTTACGTAACATGCATTATGGGCTATCGAGCCAGGCACCGCTGACGTCAAATTCGCACTTGCATATCGAATAGAAGCATAATATATTGCCACAGTCAACCACAATTTCATCTACAAAGTGGAACTGACAAATGAATCAACAAGATCGAAGGCCCCACGGGACTAATGGACATCACATTAATTTTCTGTCGGCTCCATCCGACTCCAGCCAGCGCCGTACAAAGCAACAGCTGCCAAGTCGCCCATCATAGTCTTTTGCACCCCACAGTGCGCAGGGGCTTTTGTGGCCCGTGCATTCCAATAACGAATTGCAGTGACGATGCTTATCTGCCCTGGGACCGATACATCACCCAAAGTCCTCATTACAATAAAGCACTACCTAGTCGCTTTGGCTAGCCTGACCAGCTGACTATAGCCCAGCCAGCTGACATTAGTTAGATGAATAAATGAGTCACCCACCTAAGGTAGTCGTCGGTCCACAGCCAGTAGGCCGGATGGACCCCGGCCAGGCCGCGGAAGACGACCGGTCGCTGCGGCCGTACGTAGCGCCGGAAGAACTGCTCCGGGCTGGGGAAGCGCTCCAGCTGGTCGATGGGCTCTGCGAGAGGCGGCCGGTGACGGCCGAGCGGCTGCCAGTGGCCGGCCGGCGCCGGCCGCCAGAAGAGCAGCGAACGGGCGGCGGCGGCGCGCAGCTCACGCTGCAGCCAGGCCGAGTGGTCGGCGCACCCGCAGGCGGTCAGCAGCGCGGCGGCCAGCACGGCCGCCACGGCCGCCAGCCGCAGCGCCGTCTCCCCGGACAGCTGCGGCGCCGGCGCGCCGTCCCCGGCGGCCGACGGCCCGTCACCACCGGCGGAATGCTGCCGGACCGGGTGACAATCTACAGACGGGCTAGACCGCATCTTGCCCTGTGCCCACTGCTGCCGTTGTGGAAACTGAGGACAGTTTGCACTTTATATTAATCTGAAAAGGATAAAATGCTTATTAGAATCAGACATTGGGCTGAAACATGAATGAATTCTACTCATAATTCAAGGAAGATATCACCATACTTTTGTTTGGATAAGATGCAGCAAGTAGATATTTAATATCAAGCGCTTATTAACACCATCTTACTTGAATAAGTAAAATTAATGATGGAACTATGACAATGATGCAGTATAATACTGCCAAACAATACACTATAATAATTTCCAAATAAGCATGTTTTAGTGATCGAATCCCCAATTGAATATGAATATAATGACAAAATAGCAAAATTCTGGTATGTTTGATCACAATACTTTGCCAACCAAAGATGTCAACCAAAGATATTGTTGACAAAGATCTGTAGCCAAATATCAGTCCCACGCACAAGGGGGAAAAGCTCAAAAAATTGAGCGCTCAAAAAATTGAGCGGGCCCCATTATGAAGGAATAGGCGAAACGATGGTATTTTACAATGCCGTTAGCGTCACACTACGGCAAATATCGTATCCAAATAAGGTATCAATGGCAAGAGAGAGCAACAAGGTTTCTTCTCTAACACTCGCCGTGATAATTCATATCGGTGTTTTTGGAAAGAAAATGCCCTAAAGACGCTCAACTTTTTGAGCGCCACTTGTCGTTCGGGACCGCGATACTCAATAAATTGAGCGCCACGACAGACGACAGTCAGCTGGCGCTCAAAAAATTGAGTGCCGGCCAGCATCTATACTCAATTTTTTGAGCGTTCTCCGTGACAGGTGAAGCCGGTACTGGCTGCCATTTTGATGTTATGTTCGTTGAAATACGTTAAACTGAGTTGAAACAGAAATGCAGTAAGTTGAATGCTACGTGGTACCTAAACTTTTCACAAACCCATGGCATCATGTCACATTTTCCGCTAGTAGTTTTATCGGTCGCCTTTCGGATTCGGCACACCTCAAATAATTATACCGGGCTTGAATAATCCGTATGAATACTGTATTGATATTCTCTGACTGTACTGGGAGAAGGGAATACGTGAATACAGAAAGATATCCACCCACGCTTGAATATTGGAGAATTATAGCAGGAAAAACTGTATTGCCACGGTTACAACTTACAAGGCTATTGGCCGCAAACAAACAAAAATACTATACAATGTGGGTTAGATTCACAAACATCATCAAGTGTGGAACACAGAGACGAGCAAAACAACATCACATTATCGCATGCCAGCCCGACCACATTGGAACCGGGTGACCTGCGACCGGAACCTGCGTCTTGCCAGCATACATCACAAAAGCAGGAGGCAGTGTCGTACTGCTTTGATATAAACGACCTAAGCTCGGACTAAGCTAATCATTAGGTATCAAATCCTTAACATGTAAAGGACGAATGGAAACATCGAGTCTCAGACCAGCAGTAGCAACCATCACAGTAGCAACATCACAAAGAACACGCGGCATTTTCAGACAGCCGTTTTGTTATCGGGCTACAGGCGGCGACGGCGTGGTTGCAGACCAGCTGCGGCGAGGTAGCGGCGTGCGGGCAAAAGGCGCGGGCACACCTCCATGTGGCCGTGCGGACAGTGCGCGGTCGGCGTCGCATAGTGGGCGGCATCGGGCTGTCCCGGGGCCGTCGAAGCCGCACAGGTTGTCGGCGCATGTGGGCGCGCGCGGTCACCACGGCCAGCTGCTCACCGCCAGCACAGACTGCGCAGCGTCGCCGCTCCGCCGGCCAGAACACGCAGACAACCCTTCTTGCAGTCACACAACACGTCGCCAAACTCATTCACCTGCTCCACCATGTTGTTGATGTCACCTAGTCGTTCAAGTTGTGGCTCGTGCCGTCGAGCATGACCTGCCCGATCGGACACGGGTCAGCGGCTTCTGCTCCAGCGAAGTCTTCATCTTGGTGACGTCTTGCTGATCTCCACAAAGGCTGAGCAGATGATCTTACCCACAGGGACGGCCGACGTCCTCGCCAGCGACCGCTTGGTTGTGCAGACCTGCCAGAAAAAGAAAAGCTGTTTGGTGATCTCAAACGATTTTTTCTTTATGCAGTGGAACAAAATGAAAAATATGTCATACAACAGGAACTAAAAAAAGATGCAGCCTAGGTCGTCTAAGAAATGGGTGCAACATTGATAAAATTCTTCATTGAATGAATTCTGCAAATACTTTTGATAAAATGTGTGGTGATTATAAGGAGACCACTTTACTATAAAATTCCTCAGGATTCCCTATCTGGACCTGTCAAAAAATCCTGACTGCACACCAACAATGAGCATTAACTCCAAAACCTCTACCAGGTACCTAGGGATAATTAAATTCTGATTCAGAAAATATTTCACATCATACAAATAAAAAACCTGTACTATATTGAAACTGAAAATGTGATGCCGATCCAGTGACCTAAGGGTCCCAAAGTATAATAATGAACTAATCTATTATAAATTTGGTGGTGACTGCCGACTGGCGTCTGGTGGCCTAGACCTTCAGGCTTAAAAGTGGCCTTCCTTTTCCGTTGACTTCGATCCTCCAGATGGAAATGATATAAAGGATCATTTTTATCTTATTTAATATGAGCCAGTCAGCAAAGTGGCTATCCTGTTTCAGCATTCACACACACAATAGTTGACTGTCAGTCTGTCATGCTGTCAGTGTTGTGAAGTAACGAAGGAGTTGAGTTTTGTTGATTATAAATTGTGATGTTATGTAAAGGACTGGAAAATGAATGTGAAAACTATGGAAACATATTGGCAGAGTATTGTCACTTACTATCAGGACATATGGATAGAGAATACACTCAAATAAATAAGAAATGCCAAATATTAAGGTATTCTATCACTGATAGCAGTGGACTATCATATGTTTTAATGTCAATTATATGAAAGTTAAGACTGAAACTACCTTTTACCTCATCATACCTAATGAAAAATTGTGTGAAGAAAACATTCACAGCCTCTTTGAAGCACTTAGACCACTATAAAACAAAAATTTTCACGTAAATATGTTGTGTCTCCTTCCTTCAAAACATCATATCGGATGGCGCCACTTTCGTCGACAGTTACTTATCTGCACGCAAATCGAGGAAAACGTGAATTGATTGACGTTTACGTGTTTCCAAATTTAAAATCACAGCATATTCAAACTTTTCAAGGTACCTTTTAACATCTAAGTATAACTAAAACGATAAAAACTTACCTTCAACACAAGGACGACGACAACCACGCGACCGGAGACGTCGCGACGAAATAAACAAACGGCGCCGCCAAATGAAAAATATTCTCCGATATGGGTAATGTGAAACTGAGTCGCAATCATTTTGGGTAGTATGAAAAATGCTCTTTCCAACAGAACCCTAGTAAAAAACGTGAATGGACAAAAAATAACTTTTATTTCGACATAAATATTGGCCTGTTTTTAGGTCATCCTGGTATGCCGTAAGATTTCGACCTATAAATTGGTGTTCCCCCAATCATTGAAGCTTGAGCAGTGAAAAATATGAAAGCCTAATCTGTTTTGCATCATTAGTGATTCTCCTAGGGTGTTGCCATTTCTCCCTAGGTGTTGCGAGTTGCTTTTGCAAAACGTGTTCCTGAAACGGCTCAATTTTTTGAGCCCTCAGCATTACGCCTATGGGAGCCTCTGACGTCACACGCTCAATATTTTGAGCGCTCAATAATTTGAGCTTTTCCCCCTTGTGCGTGGGACTGATATACCCGGTCATTGTTATTATGCTCTTTCATTCATATTCAAATTTTGAGGATTCAGTCACTAAAACATGCTTATAAAATCAGGGCTACAGAGTTGGAATCAACAATTCTGCCCAGGGTTGAAGTTGCTTCAAACCTACAGACTCCCACTCCAGTGTCTGAGTTAATGCTGGCAGGGGTCAATGTCATGTCCTGCAGCTGTTTGCTTGACTATGCTATGCTAACTGATCTTTCTAAATCAGATTTTGTCAAAAGAAGGCCATGCTCCTGCACCTGGACTAGCGTTTTCAGCGAAAGAGGCAGAAAAAGGTGATTTGCCAGAACCTGCTTTTAATTCTGCTTGCTATCTGTAACACATATTTGCGACGGAAGGCCCTTTTTTAATAAATCTAGTCCGAACCTTTCGAAGGGATGGATTCACAAGGACAGAGTCGAGTTCCGCTTAGCAAAGTTTGTTGCGCAGTCCTCTACCCTCCGATCGCACAGTTCCGGTTCTATGGCTGAATTTGGAGTCAAAGGTTTATTGTACCGTTTAGCTCATTTTGAGCGTAGCCTTGGAACGCAAAAAGTACCTACCTATCCTCTGACACCAGGCTGACTAATACCCAATACAATAGGACCAGTGTTGCCAGGTCGAGTGGTGCCAATACCTCCAGAAAATGTTGTAAAAACCTCTAGAAACCTCTGTTCCATTGCCGCTGATTATAGAGCATATATACCTCCATACCTACAGCTCCGTATCACAAACCGTGGCGCCGTTTCAAAGCACGCTGCCATCCGCTGCTAGCGCGTGATGACATCATCAAGCCCATTGCTCCAATACTACCAAAGGGTCTGTTCCAGTCGCACTTCCTAACACCTCTAAACTCCTCCAAGGGCAAGATAGAGGAGGTTGGAGCAGGGCCCTCCTTTGATTTGTAGGGGCTAGAGCTGACACTGGAACAGGGAAGCAATCTTGGAGGAGTTTAGAGGTGTTAGGAAGTGCGACTGGAACAGACCCTTTGGTAGTATTGGAGCAATGGGCTTGATGATGTCATCACGCGCTAGCAGCGGATGGCAGCGTGCTTTGAAACGGCGCCACGGTTTGTGATACGGAGCTGTAGGTATGGAGGTATATATGCTCTATAATCAGCGGCAATGGAACAGAGGTTTCTAGAGGTTTTTACAACATTTTCTGGAGGTATTGGCACCACTCGACCTGGCAACACTGGTCCTATTGTATTGGGTATTAGTCAGCCTGGTGTCAGAGGATAGGTAGGTACTTTTTGCGTTCCAAGGCTACGCTCAAAATGAGCTAAACGGTACAATAAACCTTTGACTCCAAAT